TTGTCTCTCAGCTGAAATAAACCAGGAAGAACAAATTGTAGGCATATCAGTCACCCACGTTTCCCCTCGCTTTCCAAAAATAACCTAACGGTGTTGTGGCTTAGGCCATTTAGGAAGGAAAGTCCGACCTAATTCCAGCGTTTTCCCGGGGGTTGATACCCTTTGCAATAGCCATTCATGCTCAAAATAGGTCACATGGATTTCAATGCTTAGTTGATTCTCTCTGTTTACAACCCCCACCACCAAACGAACACGCTGTCATCTATTTTGCAGTTTACTTCCCCGACTTTAAACGCCTCTCGCTCGACCAATCCTGGATCTGAGGAAGCCTTCTCCTAGTCATCTCTGACGTCATTCGCCCCACTTTGCTTTCACACGTGGCCTACTTCCCAACTTGCAAGGGCGCCTATTGATGTTTCACTTTGCTACAGTCTCGCTAATTTATTTTAGGTAAGAAATAAAATAATCCAATCTAAACAAACTGTCCACAAGCACATGTAAATTGTTTGCGACGAAAAAACTCGTTACCTACACGCCGAATTCATCCGTCGTCGCTTCTTCGATAAGGGAATTAATAGTTTCGTGCCCATTCAACTAAGCCAAATTCCGTATAATAAGTTTTACGACGATATTAGTTTCAATTAAGGCTTGTAATGGGTTTTATTACGATGTCGTTATTCATTAATACATCTTGTCTGTATTGAATTTTGGATTACAAGACTGATATTCGTCCTACTTTCCGAGCTAAATATAGCTTTACCGGGAGGGTGATGACCCATTTACGAAGGGTTGTCGCCCTCCCGTTAGGCCATTCATACCTTCTTCTGGGTCAAACACAGCAGCCCCAGTTTAGCCTGAATCCAACAGTGACGTCAGAGAAGTTCATGTCATTGGATTTAAATATTACCACCACTTCTCGAATGCACATGATGAGGGACCGCCTACCATTCGCATTTCCACTCTGACGTCATTCTTTCCCCTATATTTGACGATTTATGTGCCTACATTGTGTGGAATGTAATTTACATTTAATGCATGAAATTTAATTTATGCAGTTTTTTTATTGATAAATGACGAACGTTTAAATTTGTCCCTGGTGATTAAATCGCCTGCTGCTTAAATCCACGATTAGGGCGGCTGATATGATTATTACGTTACCCTTTTATGACGTAGATATTGCTGCGCTGATGGCGTCAAATCAATTGGCCTGTCACAAATGTCATCTTTGAAGTTCATCAAATAAATTGTCAAAAAGGTGAGTTCGAAATAAACTCCCCTTGTGCCATTGAGCTGGTTAATTCAATAATGAACGAGTGGGAATCCATTTTACGTCAATGGCACGTATGATGTTGAGAACCTTGATTTAATTCATAGGGAGACTTTACAACTTAAGTATTCGACAGAGAAAAAAGTTGATTAAAAGTGTTGTCATGCTCACCGATATATAGAGCAACATTGTAATATGTAATTGTATTGCCGAATGCCTTAATTTCACGTTTTCGGAGCTTCTATTGGTGGAAAATTTATTGGGCTCCCCAAAAAATTAATTGTTTGTTTTACACTTTTTGAAACTTTCTGTGTTGAAGTTGCACTAAAAAACTTACATTGTGTGTATTAATATGAATATATTTATTTCCATGAGAAGTTGATGGCGTCATCTCAAAACAACCTCAGTGAAAAAAAAACACCCTGGTGTTTTTGAAGTGGCGTGTGATTTTTTAAATTTCTACTCTAGTTGGCCATAATGCGTACGTCAGCAAGTGCAATTGCAAATTAAAAAAAAATCTTAAATGTAGGTGAAGACCTATTTTAAAGGATGTTTTAATTAAAAATGATGTCAAATTTTAACCTGTTCTATAACTAAAGTCAGTTCCCAAACCTCTAGAATTATCATCGAACGTCTCATTTCGATATAACATCATACCAGGAAAGTACATATATTACAATTTACTGTTTAATCTAGAAGTACATATTTAAGGTGAGTTACTAAGCGTGTAGTCTTCGATATAGTATAAATTATTAGAGGGAAAAAGTTAAGGTTAAAGTTGTACGTTTTTGAACTGCAGCCTAAAACCTTTCCCCACTACTTATTGGCTTTTCAGACTTTAGGACATATTTTATTTTAGAAAATGCGAAGCAACATTGCCTAGTTGTTTTTTGATCTTCTTACGATTTTTTTATCAGTGTAAAGATTAAAAAAAGTGTATTTATAGATAATTTTACAGGCAGTTCTATTCAATAAAACCAAGTTGTACGTTGTGCCACAAAAACAAAAAAAAAGATCGAACTACTTTGACCTCTGCTTTTTTAATCCCTAATAATTAACGTGATATCGAGAAGTGTGCGCTTATTGACTCACCCTGTATATAAAAAGAACAGTCGAATTGTAGGTGTTACTTACGGAAAATTGTAGTTGTGCAAATGTTGGCTCGGTTTGTGGAAACACAAATTTTATCGCAAAATAAGACTATGACCCCATTATAGATGAATGATCTGATCATCACTCTTAAACGTTAAATAATGTCCAAATGGATTTAACTTTCTTCTTTGCTTCCTTATTTACCCACAGTTAGATGATCAACTATTTATGTACAATATGATGAACGAAGCTCGTAAATAAATATCCTAGAATCAAATTTTACATTTCTTAATTTTTAATTTCTGGATGTAATTATGGTTTAGTGAAAAATAGCGAAAGGTCAAGTTTGTTTAATGTCACATTTAACGTTTCTGTTTAATATGGCTTCTTGGAATGTAAAATATTTATTTTTAATGCTGAAAAATTGTGCTGAACCTTCGTGTTTACTGGATTTTTTGTTATTAGTTACCAGAGATTTATAGTAAATGTTGGGTTTCTACAAATGGTCATGACACTACCACTAGTAATTTTTGATCTAGTTTTTCGCATTACTTTAAAGTAATGTTCCCACTGTATTTAATCTTCACTGATTTTAAAACTTTCAGCAACAACGTTTCACATTCGCTAAGAGAATTGTAACTATTATTTTATATTTATGTGATTAGAATGAATAATTTTTATCAATAAGATGCACAAAAATTAAGTAACATCCACGCATGGTAACAATATCGTATAATAAAAAGTAACTGTAAAGCGGTGCCTTTTATTAGAACTTTAACTAGTCAGATTAGCTTTTTCATGCATTTATTTTGATTTTGGAAGATGTGCAATTTTTGATGTACTGCAAATTTAAGTACACAATATCCGGAATGGTACAAATTATTGTCGCACTTTACGAAACACAAAAAAAAAAATAGTTTAGACAGTTTAGTAATTTGAAAATTTTGTCAAAAATAATCCAGTACTCATTTTATTTAGAATCATCCATATAATACATCCAAGCAGGGCCACATATGTAAATGTGTACGTTAGGGTTAGGGGGACAGCATAATTTAGCCCCTCATTCGGTACTTGTAATTACAATATAATAGTATAAGTAATAGACTTTTAAAAATATTGTATCGTGAATAGATCATTTCAATACCATTTTAAATCTCCCGATTAATCGGTTCACAAGTCAGCAGTGTACCAAAATAACTCGATATTTTTATTCTACTTTTCCAACAATAATAAGAAGCCAAAATAAGTAAGGAAATAATAAACACAGAGTAACTGCATCCTAAAGGTAAATATGAACTACTCAGAATATGTAGTGGTTAATATCTAGAAATATCTATTCAGTATGCATTGTGTTTGAAGTGAACAGTTCGGCGAATTTTTAGATTTTGGGTGTTGATTACATCACATCGATTACATGTCAATAGCTATACAATTCATTAAAAAATCAGCATGTAAAGTGAATTTTGCTTAGTTATTAGCTGTTAGTATTAATTTAAGTAATTGATAAGCGATTATTTCATTGACGACGCTGTATGATCACTTCCATGTTTCTTTGCCTTCTTAAGAACCTAAATGGTTAATAATTTGCTTTCGTGTGTCACCCGAGCCACAATAAATGTAATTGTTTTGTTTTTGTTTATTCATTGTATAGTCATCACGAATAGGACTCTTGTATTCATTATTATGACTTATGAGAATATATTGTATGCATGCATTGAACTTATTATTATTTCAGAACAGCACTTATTCCACGGAACCCTTGATGTTTCGAAATAATACCGACAGACCAATAAAAACACGATCAAAAGCAGCCACGGATCTTTGATCGCTGCATTTTTCAAATCAAACTTTCAAATTGACGGTAATCTGACGGTAAATTTTCAAAAATCCATGCTCTCTTTGTATTTTGTTCCATGAGATCTGATAATGAATCGATTTGTGCTATTATTATTGATACAGATAACTGAGATTTTTCCGACATACAGTCTTTAGTGGAATTTTATTGTCGAAAAGCAGTTCCAAAAATTTTGAATTGCGGGGAATTATTTTTATTAAATAATATGTTCTTTTGATTGGTATCATTCTTAGTGATATTGGTTATTATCAAACACAAGAATAACATTGAAATAAGGACTACTAATTCCTAACTCTACTTTCTTAAGAAATAAGAAAAATTTGAAAACTCAATACTGGGTAATTTATTTGAATCTCCTGATTTTTTTATGTTTACGAAAAATAAGATAATATTGACGTTTCATTTCAATGTAATGGCCGCCGAGATTTGACGTTTCAGCATTTCCATTTTTTTTTCCTAGTGTAATAAATGGCAAAAACTAGTAACATTGCAACATTATACGAAAGCATGGCTTTTGATGAAGTAAGTTGCCTTCACGTTGAGTAAATAACATATTGTAATTTACAAAACATTTCTCAATTGAGTTGTCGTTTTTGTTTTATAATACATGCATAAGTTACAAGGGTTAAGAATGAAGATATATGAAATAAGTATAACATCAAAACATTTGCACTTTTTCTCACTGTCATATATGCTGTTTTTCGCATATTTCTAAATTACTTTCTTGTATGTGATCTAACTGAAAATTATTGGCATAGTTAAAGCTGGAATTTTTCATTAATAAAAATTTTCTTTCGTGCACGGCCGTTGAACTTTCCACCCAGTTACCTATATTGGAAAGCACGTGCTGTTGGAGATTTTGGTGGGGAGTAGAATGCTGGAGAGGGGATGAAATGGCTATGACGTCAATACTGCGCTGGTTGAACCGTCATTGACTATATTTTTGAATGTGTCTGAAAATCGTGGAAAAGCGTCCCTGTTGTAATACATGGTGTCCTGTAATGTGCAGTTACATGATCCAGAAACTAAAATTCATGGCGTCCTGTAAGTGTTTCTTTACGTAGTTTTTGAATTTGTTTATTTATTATTATATTATTAGATCTAAGTTAACACTAAAGCTGTTTGCACCGATTAGTATATTCTGTTCAAGTCCTGAGAAACGATTGTTTGTAACGTAGTTTTCCAAGACGTGCGGCTTAACTGCGCTATAAACGATAAATTTGGTAACAAAAGTTAAAACTATAATAACAATAATTATAAGATTATCGGTGCCAATAGTTAAGTAAATTTGTACGAATCTGTCGAACACTTTAATGTTTTTAGCAACGCGTTAAAATAATTCCATTGAATGAAAGAAATATTTTTTCTGACGTTTTCCAGACTTTTTTAAACATTGTAAAAAATAAAACAGCAAGTAAATGTGCCATCGTTTGATTTTTTTGTAGTTTTAATCATAATTTTAAGAATTAATTTAAAAAACAATATTTCTAATTTATTACATTTATTAAACGTACATGAAACAATACTTGATGAAAACTTAGCATTTTTTAATGTCTTACAAAATACTAATTGGCTCATGAAGCTTTGATTTGGAGCATTTGATTATCTTATTTGAAAGACGAATATCGATATTAAACTTGTTTGCATTCGTTAACTAAATCTTGTGGTTTTTTTACCGTAGACATCCATATTATTGGGAAAAAATCGAAACTATACCACAGCATTTTATTTGCTAACGATTAAAGTTATGGTAAACATAGTAAATCAGTAATCAAAAGTTTGAATGTGGGTCAGTTGCGCGCTGCGGTCAGAAAGATGTACATACTAGGAAAAGGATTAACATCATAAACAGTTATTACCTGTTCTAATAGTTTACGTAGGTTTTGGTTATTTAAAAATAAATAAGTACTAGGAGAAATAATTCATATTTTCAGAGACATAATTGCACACGCACGCACAAGTGTCGTATAACCTTTTTGGAATTAGACCAGCCGCAGGAGATAAATTGACCGCCGCGCGCATGTGACCAACACCCAAAAATTTATCTATATATGCCTTCCAGAAACTTGATGCCGTCATCTCAAAATTTTGCAAAATATTATGATTGGTGGTTTGTCGATGCATTAAAATTGTTTAGAATTGTTTATACAGGTGTAATAAAAAAATGAATGATTGCAGAAGTTCATTAAGTTGAAAACAGCGTACCTTATATTGTTGCTATTAGTATTACCACTACTATCATATAGATATATTTGTCCCTACAAAAAGTTGGTGACACCGTCACAAAATTTTATTAAAAATAACATCATGGAACATACACATAACATAATAATCCATCACTATCCTTATTAAACTTACAGAAGTTATTGTAAATAAATAAAGTTGGTAAAATTAAATTTTATGATTTATCTAAAAAGATTAATTTGATTGCGCTTTAACGAGGGGGGAAGTTCTGTGTAAATAACTTAAATACCTTTGGACAATTTTTTAAACTGATATTTTGTCCAAAGCCTTATTTTTTGTTTTCTTAAAAATATATTTTTTACGTTACGCAGAAATAGTAAAGAACAAATTAGCTTTGTAGGCGTAAGCACTAATTTGAAATTTTCCACACAGTTGCGCTAGACAAATCAATTTTGAGGTCTAATTAAGGAAAGTTCTACAAATAAATTGAGTATGTGGAAGAACTTGCTTAGATACATTAATAAAAAAAATAGGAAAAGTGCTTGAATGAAAAGAATTATTTACTTACTTCTTACAAACCACCCTAGTTTGAGAGACAATGAAAGAACAAATTTGAAAATTCTTGGTTGTGTGACACAATATTTTTATTTAACGGATGACACAAGCAATTGCTTTACCGAAATAGGGATATCTGAGATAAATTTTAATTTTTCCAAGGGTACGAAAAAGTAGGTCTCGCGTTCCGTCTATCCGCGCCTGTCTGTCGTCTGTGTCAATTTTTATTAGACAGATAATCTAAACTACTGAACCGATTGTCGTCAAATTTTGTATGTATGTTAGGAATCGCTCACAAAAATTGGTCTAATCATCCCCACCAACAATGGGATGACGTCACTCCAAATCTTACAATAATGAATAGTAAATGTTATTTATATTTTATAGAATACGATACTCCTGCAGTTGTAGTTTATAAAACCTTGTTGACTTTTTACGCTAGACATCCAGATTTTTGGAAAAAGAATCAAAATGGTATGCAATTTAACTTTGAAACTGTTAAATTGCATGCTCTGAAACGTTGCAAGCGTTGTAAAGTCATCGCAGCATTGCAAATCGTTAATCAAAGTTGCACATAATAAAGCATTCCCAGTTTATTTTGTAATCAACAAGATCTGCTTCAAAAACAGTTATTTTAGCATATGTTCGAACTGTCGTAAAATGGTCTTTTATTTCACCCATTTTTAATTTTTTATGTTCATAAATTTTATTTTTTTTTTATCAACTGAGAATTAAAGTGTTGTATATTGTTGTAATCGCAATTTAACGGTCTATCAAAAGTAATATGCGTCGCTACATATGGGTCATATTCGCAATGTGCTCTTCAAGCTTAAAACAATGGCGTTTACAGATTTTTAAAATTATTCATTCTCAAGATCTAAGGCCGCAGAGTTTTAACTGGGACACCAGTTATATGTAATTTCAAAACTAATTGTATTTGTCCAAAACACTGAAATAGATCAATTTCAAATTACGCTCTTTTTAAATTGCCTATCTCCTTTCGAGCTCTGACGTTATATGCATTTTTTTAATAGAATGTTATATTTTTACTTTTAAAAATCGTTTCAAGGAACCCACACTTGTACCCCCATTTTCAAAAGTTCTTAGGATTATTACATTTTTACGCTATAATTAAATGGTTTACACAGTTTTCAAAAAAAAGATAGGGTATAAAGAAGGACGTCAAAAGTTATTGATTGCTTTATGGTAAAACGAAAATTCGACCAATTTTCAATTGTTATTATTATGGTCTTTCAGCAGACAAAAGTCCCTTTACTGAAAGACCAATAAAAAACGAGAAAAAATGTGAAGTAAAGAAATAAATTTTGTTATTATTTAAGTTCAGTATTCTTTGATTAGATAAAATGTGTATTTCAAAAATTATTGAAGATCTAAAACTAAAAAATATAGCATTTTATTAAAGAAAAAGAAAATTAACGTCATAACTCATAAGTGGATGATCTCATGAACGGTCAAGAAACAAAAAAGAGGTCTTACAGTCTTAATTTATTTCGTAAGTAATTTCGATACTGTAATATCAACTCACCGCTTAAAAATTTACGATTTTTAAATTTTATCACGTTCCAAATTAATAAAGGCTAAAATCTTTTCAACCTAAAAAACCGGACACAACTAGAAAATATAGTTTTCGTGTCAAGAATTGGAAGATTCTTTCAGAATTTGTTAGCTTAACTCGACAACCCTCGTTCAGCATCCTCACACTCAATTGTAAAACGCTTCTTCCTGAACTTGTATGAAAATGACTGTTCGAGAGTATTTCATTAAAATAATTTTTCATGTCTAGTAGTAATAATAAAAGTAGTAGGTACGTACTTTTGTACTAATGTTAATATTGTGGTAGCAGTGCATTATTTACTGACAGAGGGTCTATAACCTATAACTTAAAGCAAACATTTAATAAAACCACAATTGAAGGTTATCCTGCAGTCTTTCCAAAGGCCGTTCGCCAGATGAAGCAAGTGAGGTTTAGCCTCACCTATGCAACTAGATGTCACGATAAACATTAGCCTACATAATAAGTCACGAATTATACAAAAAATATGCATATATATTTTGACTAGCAATTTGGAGGTAGGTAATTGTGTTATTGTTATTACTAATATTATTATATTTCTAAGTGTACACATTTATAACGTCAGCTACTTTTGTATTTACGATTACTGCTATTTTTATGTTGTACGTCGAAAACCTAAGAATGTAACCAAGTAATAACCATAACTTCTTGTGATGAAGTATGTATTTATGTTAATTTACTTGTGAATGAAATTTGGATCTACTTATTGCCTAAGATTGGGTTCACTTCGATTGGTGCTTTAATAACCATAGTTATTCGCATGGATCATTTATCTCGAATCTCTTTTTTTGGAAGCTTAATGGTAGAACCCAAAGTATCGGTATATGTCATCCAAAGCATAAGGTTTGTGCTTCGGGGAAAAGCTCACAACACCACGATCAAAGAGAAATGTGAACTGGAACAGAGTAAGGGAGAGTGGAACATTTGCTACAGTAATTATTATTAATATATCAAGTTGAGATGAATGATTATTTGAAGTAATTTCGGAATTATGGGTAAATTGAAATTTGTGTATTTCTGAAAATTTTAAATATCATAATGATCGAGAAATAAAAAAATCACTTCCCTGCATCTTAAAAACAGAAACGTTCGCAGTATTGGGTATACATTAGCAACTAAGCTTACAAAAAATCTCTGTGCATGGAGTAATAATTACTAATAATGCATTTTTTTACAGTGGCAATTACTTGGTGCGCGTGCGTGCACAGGTGATGTCGAGGGATGACAGCTCAGGGGGCTGGGTTCCACTGGGAGGTGGGGGTCTGAGTAACGTATCGGTCAGGAAAAGGCCCCGGCCTTCCCCATCTTCCGCCCCCGGGCCTGATCCTTCAAGTAAACAGAAACATGATTATCTGATTTACGGCAAAAGGATCAGCGATCAATCGGTAATATTTTGACTCATTGAGCAGAACCAAAATTTTTGTTTTTTGTTGTAGATTGTTTTAAGTTGCACCATCAAAAAAGACTTTGAATACAACAAAGTTATGCCAACTTTTCATCACTGGAAAACGGGGGACAAAAAATTTGGACTCACATTTCAAACGGCTGCCGACGCTCGAGCGTTCGATAAAGGAGTACGGACTGCCGTCGAGGAACTGCTGGACGGTAAGCGGACTTCCAAGCTAAGATCTTTGAATAGATGTAGGAAGTAGTAACGGTTACATACAGTTCGGCGACTTTTCTATGAGCATTAACTGATTCCGATGACAAAATGTATAAGCATACAATGTAAAATTAAAAATAAGTATCAAAGGGAAACAAACGCTACGGCCGCAAAGTAGGTACTAACTTGTATTAAATTGATTATTGCTAATTTTCAACATACCGGATGGCCAGATTTTGTTCTTTGGTAGTAACTAGTTTAGTAGTTGAGGACTCAGTATGCAATAAAAGTTAAGTTTAATGACAAGTTGAATAGCACACAGACATGGAACTAAAATTTCTTGAAAAAATTACATGCATCACTATTAAAAACTAGACCCGCACAGACGATAACTGCTAGAGTATTTTTGATCCTATTTTTGTACACTATTCAATTTGTAATTAGACTTACTAGTTTTTACCGTATGCAGGTATTTCAACTACTTGCAAATTATTGCCTGGGGATTAAAGTCTGGAATACCTAATATACTTACCGGTGCTGGATTACAGCAGACATGTCCCTAGAGTCCCCGGAGCTCGGGGACCCAAAAGTTCGAAACATTTTACTTGGCTACGCAGTCTCAAAAAATCGGTTGTAAAATAAGTTATTAACACCTTGACGAAATGTCTAATTTCGTTTTTTCTCGACGTTTTGCAGCTTCTATAATTCTCAAGTCTCCCGTTTCCGTCTGTCTGTCTGCAATATCTGCTCTCATTGTTTTCGAAACTATTGGATTATTAATGAGTACTTTAAGAATATTGTTAATTTGTCGGTTCATCGTTGTCAAAAATTTGATGACGTCTAAGTAAATCTTGTTTGAAACCTATACTGTGACTTGCTTTTTTATCTATGATTTAATAGTGTATTCATATTTTTAATCTTAGGCATACATAAATAGATTATTATTTTAGTCTTATGATTTAACTGTGCTTTAATATACTGTTATTGATTTTATAAAATTCGGATGACAGGATATGAGAAAGTTTTATGTCCAAGGGCCCTAAAGGATGTTAATCCAGCACTGATACCTGATAATATATCTTTTTGAATTTTCGCGGTAGTCACAATTGAAAATTAATATATTATGTTCCATATTTAAATGATCCGGTAAATAAATGAATTAATTAATCAGTTTAATACAGATACCCAGTTTAAGCGTTAGGTGACCATCCTAGTTTAATACATAGAATGTAAGTAATATTTCTTATCTGCTCTATTTGCATCTTTTTCATTGCTTCCTTACTACGGGATTCCTACATGGTGAGTGTCATTGTCATCAATCATTACAAATTTCATATAAACGTACGTATGATTGCCCATGCATTTCATTACATGTTTTCATAAGCATCTTTTATGTAATTATGGAAAAAAAAGAAAAGTAATATTGTGCTGCAGTTAATACAAAACGGAAAGATAAACCAAAATGATATTCTAATTTTTTAAACTTAATGGAAATAATTAATTCGTAATTTATCTACAAGCAACTTAATATTTTTCATGATTTGTTATGTACATAAAAAAATCCACACTAAAAACTACGGTAACAATCACTTGTAAAGTCGTAGACAAAAGGTAGTGACAAAGTGGATTCGCAACACACTTAATTTGTCAAAATTTTGAAGCTTAGCCACTACATTTAACCAAAATGGAACGACAAGTGCCAGATTCAATGTGGATTTGAACATCCACTTGACATGTAAGTGACACTATGTTAACCTAAATTGTTACCACATTGAATTGTGGATAAAGCCATCGCTCTGAGTCTGCCTTACAATATACAAATCTCAAGTTATACTCTACTCTGTGAGTGTCTATAAACAAAAGTATACTGGGTAGGCTTCAAAGGTTCTTTTCCTTTTCCTGTGATAATAAGCTAATACAATTCGTTGAAACTTTAGTCAATATTTCTGACTACGTCATCGATTAAAACATACTACTTATTTAAAACCAGAGAATAGAATTATAAATCTGTGACAAAATTCTATGAAGGTTGAAGTCAATATACTTCTAGTTTCGCTACTAAAAGTGAACGTTTTGGAAAAGTGGTCAAAAATTGTTAAAAAAATTGTATGCATGAAAACTTGGCCAAATTTATTTTTCATCTATCAGACTGCGTAAATAAGTATGTTGCTATACCGATGTATTTTTACAAAGTATTTCTAATTGTCATGGTATAGTTTAAAAATATTTGTCACTTATCCAAATATGATACTTTAGTGTGAATTTGCTAACATTTTAACAACAGTGATTAAATATCCTAAAGATTTCCAGCGAATAATAATGACATGAACAAAAATAACTAACTGTACTTTTACTTTTTCCCGTAAATATGTGTTGTACAGATCTACAGAAATTTTCTATCAAATTACGACAAAAGAGGAAGCATTGAACTACAAGTTATCAGCCAAGAAAATAAGATAAGTGTAGATTTAAAAAAAATGTTATCACGTCATATAATTATAATACGTATAAATAATGTAACGAATTAAATAAACTATCCCTTTTTAATTTTTATTATTCTTAATATTATTATTATATTTATTTTTGTACATTATTATGCATGCCGCCAGTCCGTAATACATACATATACAGGGTGTCCCAGAATTCGCGCCATTCCCGTGAATGACATGTTCCCTGTCCCGAACTGTGCCGTAATTCGCAAAAAGAATTGTCCAGGCTTTAACCGTGTGAGAACTGGAAGGCGATTAAGTTGACCAATAGAGAGGCTGCTTTTATATCCGAACGTTTCTATGTTCAAAGTTACCTATGCCAAGAACAAAAAATTGGGTAATACTAAAGTTGAATGAATTTTTTTCCGAATCCCCCTCCGTCAATAAAAGGAAACAGAAGTGTGGTTATAAATTTAATCATTTTGACAATTGTTTGTCATAAACTGTCACGAAGTTCATCACTGACCTGAAGAGACGCTTCTGCGCCAAAGATGACTGATTAATGTACACAGAGACGTCAAGGTTTACTTTAAGGCCAGTAGCATGGGACAGAAGTTATTTCTGCGGCCATTCTAGTTAAATTGTGTTTAACTGGGCTGTACATGTCATAAGAGAAGCTGTTTCATTTCATCGTAGGCAAATAATACATTTATTACTATTCTACATAGTGTGGATACCGAACAGCAGGTATTAGAAGTCATTTTCTTAGAGCCTCGTGAATAATGTGTTGTTCTTTTTAACGAAAATTAGTACATTTTCAGAATTCACTAGGCATCATATCCCTGATATTAAGTTTATCGTTATTTCTAAAAAAGAGTACCACATGTCCATTCAAAGAACGTTATTAAGTGTACTAAAGAGAAGATGGATCTTTTCAGCCTAGTCGGAAAGGCCGTGCTGGGGCTCCACGGAATGTACGTGTAGGTGCTGAAGAGCAAGTGTTAGAAAACATGGAAGCGGATCCTAGGAGAAATGTCCGCTGCGTAGCGCAAATGAGTGGATGCTCAAGATCGACCACTCATCGTATCCTACAAGAGAGAAGACTGCATCCTTACCATTACATGAGGGTGCAGCATCTGCGACCAGCCGACTACCCGCAACGAGTACATTTTGCTCAATGGTTACTGCGACAAAATGAACTAAATCCTGATTTTTCACGGCGCATTCTTTTCACCGACGAATGTTCATTTTCCCGAGAAGGAATGTTTAATGCACACAATTGGCATTTCTGGGCACACGAAAATTCACATCTCACTAGGGTGAGAGCATATCAGGAGCGATTTACTATTAATCTATGGGCTGGAATCATTGGTACTAGTGTGGTACAAATTTTAATGCATCTGATAAAATTATCACTAAACTCCGTTCCTGTTTATTTCGGTGGGGCCGTTTGTGTTACCTGATTACCTTAATGGGGAGGTATATGCTAAGTTTCTACGACTAGAGCTTCCGACGTTGTTGGAAGACGTTCCTTTGAATGTACGGCGGAATATATGGTTTCAGCACAACTTTAAAGAAACTGTTTTAAATCATATGCAACATCAATATTATTCTTGAATAAGTCTCTGTTTTCATTATCTCCCCCACATGATTGACACCACAGCAGATACCTATGATCTCAATACACCAGAGAAGTGGAGTCTCGTCTATTTTTTCGTTGCTTAGATTAGGTATCAGCAACAAAGCTGTTCAGTAAAAATTGATACTGTTTATTGAAAATCATAAGCACCGATTAATCAAAAGCGATATTTATGTTTTAGTACACTTAATAACGTTCTTTGAATGGACGTGTGGTACTCTTTTTTAGAAATAACGATAAACTTAATATCAGGGATACGCTGCATAGTGAATTCTGAAAATGTACTAATTTTCGTTAAAAAGAACAACACATTATTCCCGAGGCTCTAAGAAAATGACTTCTAATACCTGCTCTTCGGTATCTACACTATGTAGAATAGTAATAAATGTATTATTTGCCTACGATGAAATGAAACAGCTTCTCTTATGAAATGTACAGCCCAGTTAAACACAATTTAACTAGAATGGCAGCAGAAATAACTTCTGTCCCATGCTACTTGCCTTAAAGTAAACCTTGACGTCTCTGTGTACATTAATCAGTCATCTTTGGTGCAGAAGCGTCTCTTCAGGTCAGTGATGAACTTCGTGACAGTTTATGACAAACAATTGTCAAAATGATTAAATTTATAACCACACTTCTGTTTCCTTTTGTTGACGGAGGGGGATTCGGAAAAAATTCATTCAACTTTAGTATTACCCGATTTTTTGTTCTTGGCATAGGTAACTTTGAACATAGAAACCTTCGGATATAAAAGTAGCCTCTCTATTGGTCAACTTAATCGCCTTCCAGTTCTCACACGGTTAAAGCCTGGACAATTCTTTTTGCGAATTACGGCACAGTTCGGGACAGGGAACATGTCATTCACGGGAATGGCGCGAATTCTGGGACACCCTGTATACCCCTATATTGCTGAAACTGTTATTTCAACAATGTT